GCACAGACAGGACCGGATTGCACTGCTGCCTAGATCCCAGTGCATAAACAACCATCTTATCTGTGCCGCCCATGTGCAGAGTTGTGACGAGAGACTTCCGGCAGTTATCTCTGCCTGTCCCCATCAACACTCGTCCATCGCCATAGGACTTTCGAGGGAATATGGGTTTTGATGATGACGAGAGGTATGATGAACTGGATGATGGCTGCACGTGAGTTGATTTATGAGGTGAGGCAGGTAGGAACGCAGGCTGCAACCACACATCTTGGTTCTCCCTTTTCCTGATCCAGTGGTGGAAGTGTTGCAATGACTGGGGAGAGGGAGAGTTGCAATGGATTGCTGATAGCCCAGTTTGTTGGGTTTTGCCTTTAGTAGCCTGTCCATCATGCATTGCCTTTGTCTGCCGGTGTAGTCGTTGGGTTTCCATGGTGGTCACCTCTTCTGCCTACACCGCCATTGGGGTCTTGTTGGAGCTCTGTAAGCATGTCTGCCTGATGCGGGGTTCCACCACAGATTTTTCGTTCGGGGTTTACTCCCGTAGCCCTATGCCTACCAAAGTTAATCCGCAAAGCAGCGGGGCAATGGTTGGTAGGCGCCAGGACGTGTCCACATGCCAGTGGGCCTATGCGCCGTCCCTCTGGGGTCCACTGCTACTCCGAGATCCCCTGCTGGTCTAGCCTGGGCCGAGAAGGCTCCCATTTACAGTGTGTTGCCACGAGGAAGCACAGCAGTAGTCTTGACGGTGAAGAGGCTGCTTCCCTGTTCGCCACGAGGGCTAGCCAGCTGTGGTAGCTGAAAGCGAGAGGGAGCAAACAATGCCTGCACCTTAACACTAACATAATGCTGCAACACTAGATGCATTTCACCACCCTTTGTACGAACAACACACACACACACGTACGTCTCTTGAGTCAGCTGATCCATGTTCGTTTTTTTTTTTTACGGGGAATAGCCCATCCGGGCACAGGTCATCGACCCACAACGGGGATTAGGGGGCGAAAAAATAGGAGTAAAATTTAAAAAAGAAAAAGATTACAGGTAGTCCCCGACTTACGACTGACTCAACTTACGTCAATCCGCGCTTACAACCTAATCTGACCTTACAACCGTCGGGACATACGACCACCGCAGTCGCGAACAAAAATTTTTTCAAATGACGCGCGCATTTTCTATACCGAAACGTTTCCGTCCTGAGCGAGAGCATGGCTGGTTTGGGTCACCGCGTGGGTACACTCGCTCAGTGGAGCGCTTAGTTGGTGTTTGGCTACCGTATCCTATACTGATCGCACTGTGAACTTACGTTATTATCGTATTTAATTGACTTTATAATGAGTGGAAAGCGTACAAGTGAGAGTGCTGGTGGTGCTCCAAAGAAAAGGAGACAGGCAATTACTTTTGAGATGAAAATGAAGATAATAACACAGCATGAGAATGGAAAAACAGTAGCAACAATCTCACGCGACCTAGGTTTCTCACACTCGACTATATCCACTATTCTGAAGGACAAGGAACGTATTCGTGATGTAGTGAAAGGAACAACACCTATAAAGGGAACTATAATATCAAAGAGAAGACAAGGTCCTATTCATGATATGGAAAAATTATTGGTGATATGGATAGAAGACCAAACACAGAAGCGTGTACCCTTAAGCCTTCTAACCTTACAGGCTAAAGCAAGAAGCCTGTTCCAAAGCCTGAAGGAGCAGGCAGGAGATGAATGTGATCAAACCTTTACAGGAAGTCAAGGGTGGTTTAATAGATTTAAAAAACGCTACAGTCTACACAATGTTAAGGTGAGTGGGGAGGTAGCTAGTGCCGATGTTGGTGCTGCCGAAGCTTTTAAGGAGTTAGATGATGTGATTGTGGAAGGGAATTATTTGCCTGAGCAAATATTCAATGTGGATGAGACTTGATTATTGTGGAAGGGCATGCCTGAGCGGACATACATCCACAAAGAGGCGAAAACAATGCCAGGATTCAAGGCATTCAAGGACAGAATTACACTTCTGTTGGGGGGGAATGTTGCTGGTTTCAAGCTAAAGCCCTTCATGATCTATCATTCAGAGAACCCCAGGGCTTTTAAACATGTCAGCAAGCACACACTGCCAGTGTTTTATCGCAGTAACAAGAAAGCCTGGATGACCATTGTACTGTTTGAGGATTGGTTCATGAATTGTTTCATTCCTCGAGCCAAGGAGTATTGTCTACAACAATGGATTGCATTCAAGATTTTGCTGATTTTGTATAATGCTCCGGGACACCCATCACACCTGGACGACATGCATCCTGATGTTAAGGTAGTGTACATTCCACCTAACACTACCTCTGTCATCCAACCCATGGATCAAGGTGCTATTGCTGCCTTTAAAGCAAATTATTTACGTACGATCTTCGCTCAGGCTGTTGCTGCTACTGAAGGTGAGAAAACGCTCAAAGAGTTTTGGAAGGAGTACAACATTTTGTTATGTATAAAGAACATTAGTGCAGCATGGGATCAGGTTACAAAACATTGCATGAATGGAATATGGAAGAAAATCCTGAAAAGATATGTGAACAGTTTTAGAGGATTTAATGAAAATGAAGTTATTTCGGATATTAGTAACAAGATAGTGGAGTTAGGTAAACAGCTGGAGTTAGAAATTGATAATGAAGATGTTGAACAGTTGGTTGAAAGTGTAGCAGAAGAGCTCAGTAACGAAGGTCTCATCGAACTGGAAGCACACAAAGATGCAGAGGAAGAAGCCAGTCTAAATGTAGAAGAAGGACCTGCACCCCCCAAAAAGTTTTCAGTGAAGCAAATGGCAGAGGCATTTGCTACAATTAATAAAGCAATGCAAATGTTTGATGGCATGGATCAAAATTATGAGCGTTATGCCAAAGTTGACAGAACGATCCAAGATGCACTTGCTTGCTACAGAGAAATTTATAATGAAAAGAAAAAGCAAACTGTGCAGTCTAAATAGGACATCTATTTCAAGAAGTCCCCCAGTGCTGTCTCCTCATGCTCCACCAGTGCTGCCTCTTCACTCCCTCAAGATGATCCAATACCTTCAACCAGCAAGTTTCCACAGCACATAAACCTGTCTGAAGAAAGCGACATTGATGACCCACCTAGCCCTGTCTCCTCCTCTGCTTCTTCCAGTTAATGTAGTCTCCATGTATAATTAAAAATTATGGGGGCCCCGTGTGCATTCAGCTGACTACATTAAAGGTAAGTGCTCAGTCACACTGTATCCATTACTCATTATTTATTACTTTTACTGTACTGTATTTCATTGTAGATTTTTTTTTCTATGTCGGACTTACGACCATTCTGACTTACGACCTGGATTTGGGTCCCTAACCCCGTCGTAAGTCGGGGAGTAACTGTATAATAATCTACACCACGAATATGTTAACTGTATTCATTTGTCTTCTGTTTGCGCCTTGCCTTGACTGCCACATAAAATAATCTATCTATAATTACTGTGCAAACAAAAATATTTTCTAAATGTGCATACTGTACAACATTAATAATGTACATAATAGTTTTAAATAAATGTAACACTGTGAGGTGAGCTGGCATATCGAAGGGTGAGGTGACAAGATGAGGTTAAATCAGAGGATATGTAGATGCATTGTAAAGTACAATAATATTTAAGTTCTGATAAATACATTACAATATTATTTATAACCATAAGTACAGTACAGGTAGTTCTGCTATAACGCGATAATTGTGTTCTTGTAAAATATCGTGTTATAGAAAATCGCGTAATAGAAATAACAGGGCTTATGGAGAAAATAGGGTTAGGTGCAGATTACTCGAAATCGAAAAAATTTAGTAGTTAGCCTAACACAAAGGATAGCACAGTCTAAATAAATGGCATTACTAGCATTGTTCCTCCTGCTCTTCTATATAAAGATCCTGGGATGTGATGATTTCTGAAGTACTTAATGATTTCAGTAATGTGCTCCTTAATGTTCTTGATTTGCAGGTCTTGTGAAAGCAAATTTAACAGGTGTGCAGAGCAACCATATGTTATAATGGATTTATCTTGTCCAAATTCACTTCTCATTTTTTGCCATATTAGCAGCATTATCTGTGACACAGCTTCTTACTGTGCATCCAAATTTGTCTTCACACTTTTTTGAAGCACATTCAGCTAATTTCAACAGATATTCAGCTGTGTCTATAGAGTCAACAAGATAAATACGGTTGTCCGCTGTTAAAGTTATACATACTATAGGCTCATTATGGACATTACTCCATCCATCCATGGCCATGCAAACTGTTTTCCCACTAAGTTCTTCTGAATAATTCTTAACACTGAATCGTAGGCTTGATCCAAAAGAGACCCTCCAAATTGATGTCTATTAGGTGGAACATATCCTGGTCTTAGCATTTTAATCATCTTGATAAACTCTTCGTGCTCCACTGTTCGGAAGGGTGAATTTGTTGCATTTATATAATTAGCAACTTGCTGATCCAAAGTGACCTTTTCAGACTTAGTAGTTTTTATCACAAAACCAGTTATGCTTCTTTGATCAGAAATAAAACTTATGTTGTTTAATAAGAACATACTAAGTGATAAAAATAGAATATCTGAATATGTATAGCCTAGTGCCGACAGCCTGTTCACTCTAACTATGCAAAAATTTACAGCCCCTTGCTCCTCATTGACTGATATATAATGCCGGGAGAAGAGAATACTACAGTTCTTCTGAATTTCAATAGTATTTATTATCTTAGTTAACAATATATTTCATGTAAATATATACATTAATAATGAGACCTTATGATATGATCAAAGTTTTGCAAAACTGGAGAGAACAGACTATAGTACAGTACATAATTATGTAAATCCAAATAATGTTATTAGCCTGCTGCATTGCATATACTTTTCAATCATGTAGAATAAAAAGAGAAAACAGTTATTAGTAAAAAAATCATTTTGATTTAAATCATGACTTTTTTACTCTGATTTAAATCGATTTAAATCATGTGATTTAAATCATTTTATTTAAATCATAACAACCCTGCTATGCAGCATGCAGTGCATGGCTACAATCTGCGGATTGAGCGCCTTTATTCTCGCAACCACCCCACTCTTACAGCCAGTCATAGCAGCTGCGCCATCGGTGCAGACAGCAACGCAGTTCTCCCATTTCAGCGTTGTTTCGCTCATGAAAGTATCAAGTATATTGAATATGTCCTCACCTGTTGTTCGCCCATTCACCTTTTTCCAAAACAAAAAATCCTCAAAAATGTGTCCATCCCATGGGTAGCGAACGAGCGCAATGAGTTGGGCGGAATTTGACAAGTCAGTGGACTCGTCGAGTTGAATTGAAAAATGACACGTTTGCAATCTTGCCACGAGTTGCGATTTTATGTCACAGGACATGTCTTCAAGCCTTCTTCTTACTGTGTCGTTTGAGAGAGGTACAGATATAAGTTTGCTTGCGGCCTCTTTCCCGATCATCACCTCACACATCTCCATCGCAGCGGGGAGCACCAGCTCCTCCCCGATCGTGTGGGACTTATTGCTTTTGGCTATCCTCTGCGCTGTCAGGTAGGAGGCCCGCTGTGCCTTCTGGGGAATGGTGGTGAGACTTGTCATTGTAGTTTGTTGTCGGCAGTACACCTCTCTCTTACGCTCAAAAAAGGACCTGCTTTTCTGAGCACAATCCGGATGTTTCGTATTTCGATGTCTCCTCAGTTTAGCAGGCTTCATAGCATCGCTTGAAAGCACCTGTATGTCGATTACACACTTTGGTCTACTGTCCTTGTTTTCAATGAAGCCGAATTCAATATAACTATCGTCATATTTTCTGACTTTTCCTGACGATTTAGATGGTTCTTCAAGTTCACTTGTAACGTTGGATTCCGGTCGTTTTACAAACTTGTCCATGATGACAGCTAGCTAGCTAGGGGCGATACCAGGCTGCCCGCTGCTGTCATTGTGAGTCACTGTTGTTACTACCAGACACGCGCAAGGCTCGTGACGAGGAGTACATGACGGAATTGTCTGAAACGATATACAGAGGTCCCTCGGTAAACAAACACAATGCATTCCAGAAGATTGTTCGTTAACCGAATCCATTGTTTCAATGGGATATTGGGTAATTGGTTCCAGCTCACCGAAAAGTACATACGTACAAAGTAAAAAAATAAAATGCAGTAAAGTACACTAACTTTGAGGTGTGTATGTAGAAGGCTCCTGATTGATGATCATGATGGGAATTAGAAGTGGGGGTGGAGAAGGGAGAAGAGAAGGAAGATGGAAGAGAAATCACCCCATGCTTGATGCCGTCATTTCACCAACAAAATTTTAAGTTCACTAGGAGTAATTCAAGATTATTTTCTTTAAATCAACACTGCACTGCACTATATATTGTCAATATGTTAAATAAACTTCCGAATGACCAATAATTGTACTGTAAAAACGTAAAAATACTCTGTGTTCAAGAGACCAACAAGCAAGATGTTTCCTCCACTGAACAGAGACACAAACTGACACCTTGGTGGGTGAGTGAAGTGGCTGATGGGTGCACCAAAAACTAGTTCCCTATACTGCAATTATGTTAAATAAGTGTTAAAATGACTAATAACTTTAATATAAAACTTGGAAAAATATTGAATAACACAACCTTCTTGATATTTACTCCAATGGAAACAAATATAAGCCCTAGAACCAATTACTGTATTGGAGGACTAATCTACCAGCTGGTGAGCAAGCCAAAACATGTTGACATGTTTACGTAAGAATTTCGTTAACCAAATTTTTGTTCGTTAACCGAATTGAAGATTCTTATGGAAGGTAATTCGTTAACCAAAATTTCGTTAACCGAGGCATTCGTTAACCGAGGGACCACTGTACATATCTTCTTAAAATTTGGTGTATAAATATGCGAATTACTGAGACCAGATATGGGAAGGTTAAACAAACTTGGTTTAAGTTGCCATAAAAGACTGTGGATGCAAACAATTGACATATAAAATAAACATAACATCATGAGCAGTAGCCTGCTGTTAATAATAATGAAATTGAGATAATACTACACCGTTACTACACCTCACCTGCCTCCAACCCTCCACATTTCCTCCCTCAGGGTCTGCCATGAGAGTGTGTCCAACTTCACTTTATAGATTAGATTGATGTTTCCTGTTTAATTTGCATATCAAACGGTAAAACAACACAACGTTATTATTAACCCTTAGGCCCCGGGTGACGTTTTCCAACTATTTTCCCCGCCATTTTTTTTTTTTAATTATTTTTTTCTCGATTTAACCCCACGGGGAGGGGGGGAGGGGACCCTAACCCGAAGCTTAAGGGTTATTAGTGTAATGCAACCATTTCAGCATTTGCAACAGAACGAAAAACACACAGTAAACTTAGTGCTAACAATAGACGACATGCATCGGTTATAGCATACCCAACAAGGAAGTCTATCCAGTCTGGTCAGTTTGTTAAAAAAACAAAAACAATAAAATGGCAATTTATAGCACCTATATACCATGATGCATACAAATATTGTCAATAATCAAAGAATAAATCATAGTCCAAAGCATTTGTTCATTTAAACCCAAAACCAAAATATCCTGCTAATTGGAATCGCCAAATCTCTCACAAACGTTAAGCGCACTATTTCTCAAAAACTTTTTGCGGACCCCCTAGCTAAGTGCCACGGACCCCAGTTTGAGAATCACTGCTGTACAAGTCTTTTAACTCATATTTTCGGGAAGATACAGGTATACGTAACTTTCTTCATTTATTTTACATGCATACACCATCCTAAATATATATTGTGAAAAAAGTAAAAAAAAATAATTGTCTTAAGGGCAAACCTGTACAGTACTCAAATGTACAAAGTTAATTACTAAAAATTTTATGTCTTGTGCAAACTCTGGGATGTTTGTACTTAAATTAATCACCATCTTACAAGAATTACAGCAATGCAGGTTATATACTGACAAGTCAATTCAGTGACACTTTATAAGGGAGAACTTAAATCTCCTCTATTTGATAACTACGCACTTTGTCATCTCCCCTCCCTGACAGCTGTCAACACCTCAAAAAAATAAAACCCTCCACCTTCCTTCCAGCCAGGGTGATTTTTTTTTATCCTCTTCAGTTTTAGGCTTCAAGTTTTTATCTTAAAAAATGTAGGTGACTAGACTTAGCAGAATATAAATTACATTGCTGAAATTCTTGTAAGATACAGTAGTGATTAATTTGAGTAAAAACATCACATAATTTGCACAAGAGATAAAATTTTTAGTCTAGTGAAGTACATTTGAGTACAAAGTATGTACAGTAATGTTGCTCAAAATTATGTTTTTTCACATGTAATTTACATTTTATATTTGTTTAATTTAAGTTTCCAGCAGTCCATGGTGCTTTAGAGACACAGGAGGTGTATCATTAGTGGGTCAGAGGTGTACAGTATTGTTGAAATATTATTACCTGACCTCGGTTGGTCCGGCAAAACGGATAATACGGCAAGGCTTTGGAACCAAGGATGCCGGAAAATCGGTGGGGGACCTATATTAGTTTTCCCCTATAAAGTCATTTCTTTTCTAACCCTTATAGATATGTTCTATTTTTAAAAAATGATTCGATTTTTAAGAAGACCGATTTTAGTGAGAATGCTTCGTTTTCAATATACTGTACAGAGTATTTGCCGTGAAACACAGACCTACTTTCAGAGGTCTGTTTACCATGACGTCATGGTACCAGCCGTTATCTGCACTTGCGCAACACCGTGACCTGAGGTCGGGGCATGCGCGATAAAGACAGATTTCAAAATTCAGTATCAATCCGCGTCTCCTTCACACCCGCCACTTTTTTAAAAGTAGCCATGGTAGATTTTTGCTCCCAGTACAACCTGAAACATTTTAAAGTAATAGTGGACACTTACTACAACCAAGAAGCTGCACTTGAAATATTTCAGAAGCACGGAGTGTTACAATTAGCCAGACAGTGCCCAAAGTGTGGTAAGCAGTGTTTTTACAGAAAAACAGATGCGAATTCATGTGTACAAGAAATTCAAGAGACCCCATAGCCAAGAAAGTAAAGCGGTTAGGTTAGGTTAGTTTTTTTTTTTTATGGGGGAATAGCTCACACAGGCTCAGGTCACAGACCCACAACGGGGCCTGGGGGGCGAAAAAATAAGAGTAAAAAGAAATTAAAAATAGAAAAGAAAAAGATTAAATTAATCTACACTGCGAAGATGCCGGAAAATCACTTTTTAAAGTGACACAGATTGTATGAGTATGGGAACACAGGAGAAGGCAGTGCATTCCACTGTTTGGCTGTGTGAGGAAAGAAGGATGCACTGTAACGGGTTATTCTAGTGTGACCGACAGCCACAGAGGAAAGGGGGCACCGCTAGCAAGACGAGTGTTACGAGCCCATGGCCTTGCCGGCGGTACACAGGATGCCATATCCACCAAACATTGCCCATTAAAGTACCTGTAAAAGAGAGGGAGTGAATATTAAGTTAGTTTAGATTAGTATAGGTTTGGTTAGGTTTCTTTCCTTTAACATGAGATTTTTTTTCTGGTGTATTTTGGTGAGATTCAGTAAAATTTGAACTTCGTTTTTTGTGAAAATAGCCGTTTTTGGTGTTTTTTTTTTTCAATTTTCTAGAAAAATCGAAAAAAACTGTTCATTTCAGCAAGAAACGAAGGTCACATCTGGTTGAAACACCAAAATACATCAGAAAAACAAATTTTCACATCGAAATGGGGATAAGGAGGAAAGACTAACAATTCTGTGGTCGGACAGCAGCTGTGGCTGACACTAACTCATCCCATGCTGGACACTCACGCAGTACAGTACTTCCTTACCTTGTACTGCACATAACTTTCATGTATCTTACTCAACCCAAACTCAGAGTAACTAAATACAACATACAGAGAACACTGCCTCACCTCTGCACGTTAGCTGGTTATTACGCCTCCTTTTGTGTTGTAATGAAGAATATCTTGGTAACAGTTAACTCAGGTTGAAGTTTTAGGGTCGAGGTTTGTTGACACTCTTCCCTGCCGCTTTAACAACCGCCAGAATAATGTTAAAAGTTCCTAAAAATAAACTATTTAAAGAATTTTGTACTAAACAAATTTAAAAATCAGTCAATGTAATGTTTTAATTCATTATTAAATAATATTAACTACTTATCTCCTAAATTTAGGAGATAAAAAGAGCATTCAAAAATACTAATATGCACATCGCTTTTGTGGTTATTATTATATTAAGATAATTACTGCATTTCTATGTACATCTAAAAAAATCTGTGTTAAATTTAAAAAGTAATTCAACAGTTTCTCTGCCATTCTGCAAATACATTTATTCCCCACAAAATAACCCAACAATATTAATTACATATCACAATTCAGTAAACAGAGTGTGATTCACTTAGTTTCCTTCTTTCTTTTACTTACTTTTATCTTCTTCACCAAAAGATCGGCTCGATAGCCGCTAAGGCGATCGGTCACGTCTCTGTCACGCACTGTTGGCAAGTACTGGGCATGCACCGGCTCCTCAATGTACCTGAACCCGCTCCAGTGTTGGTCAAGTCTTCTCTTGAAAGAGCTCACACTCGGTGCCGTCACAACACTCTCTGGTAGATTATTCCAAGAGTTTACAGCCCTCACTCCGAAAAAGTTTGCCCTCACAGTTTTCTGGACTTGCGGCTTCTTCAATCTTGAGCTGTGACCCCTTGTGGGGCGAGCGTCCGCCAGCTCCAAGTAAGGACACTCAACTGAGTAGTGCCCCTTGAGATGCTTATACACCTCAACTAGGTCCCCCCTTGCCCGTCTGTAGTATAAGCTAGGCAAGCTCAGGCGCTCTAATCTCTCAGGGTAGCTGAGGTGCCGAAGGGCAGGCACCAGTCTGGTGGCCCTCCTTTGAACATTTTCAACCAACTGACAGTCCCTAGCATATCTCGGGGACCAGATGGGGTGACAGTACTCCAGATGGGGAAGCACTTCACTCCTGAAGATCGTTACAAGGGACGGACCGTCTAGATATCTGAACGACCTTCTTATAAGACCCAATAATTTGTTTGCCTGATTTACCTTCTTCTCGCAATGGTCCGAGAACTTCAGCTCATTGTCAACATACACACCTAGGTCCTTCTCACACACAGTCTCAACTAGTGCAGTTTCTTCATCCTGTTGGGACATACGATACGCCTCCTTACCGTTGGTACGCCCCAGGTGCATCCTCTTACACTTCCTGACATTCAATCTCAGCAGCCATTTCTTCGACCATTCCTGGAGCCCACAGAGGTCCTTCTGTAGCTCTTCACAGTCCACTTGGTTCTTGATTTGCCGAAATAACTTGGCGTCATCGGCAAACATTTGTATGGAGGAGTGTACATCAGGCATGTCATTTATAAAACAAACAAATAACAGCGGGCCCAATACACTGCCCTGCGGTACCCCACTTGTGACAGGTACGGATGGCGATTTCGTACCATTAATCACCACATACTGTTTGCGGTCATGTAGAAAGTCTTCTATCCACGCTAGGACATTTCCCCGAATTCCGTACCCTTCCAGTTTGATTTTCAGCCTTTCGTGGGGTACACTGTCGAAAGGCTTGGCAAAATCTAGGTAAATATTGTCGATATTACCACCCCATTCGAGAATATGGGTCCAAATATCCAATACCTTGAGCATTTGTGTTAAGCACGAGCGCCCCGACATAGAACCGTGTTGACAATCTTTTACAAGGTTGTTTCGTAGTAGATGTTCCATCTCGGCATCTCTGATAATACTCTCAAGTACTTTACATATTATGCTGGTCAGGCTCACCGGGCTATAGTTGTTCGTGGTGTGACGATCGCCCTTCTTGAAGATACGACTCACATAAGCAACTTTCCGTTCACTGGGGACGTTTTGTTCATCCAGGCATTTACAAAACAAGATATTCAGGGGCTCGGCAAGCTCGTTGTACAACTCTCTTAGCACTCTAGGATGCACCATATCAGGGCCTTTAGCCTTTAGCCTGGACAGTTTATTTCTAATACAATCTTCTGTGAATTCAATGTGGGTCAGTGCTGTGTCGAACCGTCTGTCCTCAAACGCAGGAAGGTTAATTGCATCCTCTCTTGTGAACACCGAGGAAAAGAAGCTGTTCAATGCCTCAGCTTTATCCTGGTCAGAATCTGCTTAACTACCATCTTCAAGCCTCAGGTCTGATACTCCTACTCGCGTTTTCAATTTCGACTTTGCATAGCGGTAAAACGCCTTTGCGTTAGACTTGACCTCGCTTGCAACCAGCCTCTGGAACTCCTTTTCAGCCCTCCTACTTTCTATCTTTGCTTGGTTTCTAGCTCTTGCATACATCCTCTTGTCTTGTTCATCGTTTGACCCAACCCACGTCTTGAATTTCTGGGTTTTCTTCTTAATTCTGTCGACCGCCGCATGGTTCATGTGTAGGGATCCCCTCGTATTCCTAGAAGCACTGGGTTTGGTCTTGGGTATATATTTATCGATCAAATGGGTCACTTTACTAGTTATGATATTCAGTGTAGTGTCTGCGTTCTTGTACCTTAATGAGTCAGGCCAGTTGATACCTCTCATCTCTTTCCTCATCCAATTGTAATTTCCCTTGTAATATTTGCACCTTGGCCTGGCCTTACCCTAAACTAGGTAACAGTTAAATCTGAATGACAACACTATGTGGTGACTGGTGCCAACTGGGGCAAGGTGTTCCAGTTTGGCCACCATACCCTCCTCGTTTGTTATGATGAGGCCAAGTGGCATGGGTGTTTGCTCCCCTCAGTAATGTGTCGGGTCTCTAACATGTTAGAACAGAAAATTATCTCAGAGTTTCTACAAAAAGAGTAGCAGAGTTATTCAAGTCATTTGGGGTGGACTCTTTTCTCCAGTCGATGTCACCATAGTTAAAGTCCCCCATGATAAGGAGGTGGCTAGGGTTGAGCATTGCCGCGTTGTCTATTAAGGCTCTTAAGTTCCTTTGATTTAGTGGGCCACAGTTTGGGGATCTGTAGATACACCCGACGATAAGTAAATCCCCTTCCTTTAATTTAATTTTACACCACTTGGACTCTTCAAAAACATCCTCTCCCTGTACCCTCGCCTGGCTGGCTCTAAGGTCTTGCCTTGCATAGATAACCACACCCCTCTTGCAAGTTTCTTGAGAAAGGTTCGTAAATGAGTCATATCCAGCGATTCTGAACTCGCATTCCTCTGGGTCGATTCTCCTGTTCTTGTACAACAGTTCTACAACTCCTACAATATCTGGTTGGTGTATTCTCAGTAGTGTTTCAAACTCCTCTCTCTTATCAAGAAACGTGTCAGTATTAGTGTACATGACATTCAAGCCAGAATTTGTTCTCGGTAACGTCTCTGCTCTTAGTAGTAACCCCGCCCCCCGCCCCCATTCTCAGAAGCTGCAGCATTTGCTAAGTACACTGTATTTTGCAGGGTTTGGTTAGAAATGTCATTGTTAATACTGCGCTCGCCTCCTCCTGTCCTGTAGGCAGAGCTGGTGACGCCTCCCGGCCCTGGCCCTGTGCCGGCACACTTGCTTCCACTACCCTCCCCCTGAATATAACCCATGTACACCCGTCCCCGTTCTTCCTTGACTCCTCCCACTTCTGCTTCAGGTCCTGCAGGAGCTTCTTGTGCTGTTCCCTCTGCATTACCGGCCGGTCTGGGTGAATGAATACACCCCGAAATGCCTCGCTCCTTGCTAAGTTTTTTGCCTGCCGAATAACCTGCCATTTCTCTTTCTGCTCGCTAGTGTGATCCTGAGGGGGCGAGGCTTATCCCCCTGCTTTTGTCCCAGCCTCCTAACATTCTGAGGGGTTGATGGAATCTTCAGAACCTCTGTACAAATATTTTGAAACTGCATCTTTTCGTGTGTAATCTTACTCACAGTTCCCTCTGCCTGGCTCTCTGGAACTCCAAAAACTATTACATTGTTCCTGCGCTGGAAACGTTCCTGTTGTTCCTCATCTCCCCTAACAGTAGGTCCGTTAATTTTCATTTCTTCGACACACTTCTTCAGAGCCCCTCGCTGCTGTAGAACCTGTTCTGATCCTACATTACTCTCCGCTCCCTCCCGTGGCCCTGCTAATACGTCAGCATAACTCCTCTAAGCAACCACCTCCATTCTATCGGCGACTTCCTCAGTCACAGCAAGGATCTCTTTCCCAACTTGCTCTAGTTTGGCAACCAGCAGGGCTCCAGCTTCATCTACAATATTTTCGTCCCTAGAGAACTCGTTCCCTTATGGCTTGCAATCGCCTCATTCACCTTGACTATGCAGTCAGGGCAATACCAGCAACAGCCTTCATGCTTTACGGCAGTTTGCAACATCCTAAACGCCATAAGGGTCAGGCCTATATCCTCCATATCCGACGTCTCCCTGCAGTCGGACTGCTATCAACCGTCTCGAAGTTATCCAGAGGAAAGCTGCTTGTATCATCCTTGGGGCTCCTCAGTGGACACGCTCTACTTCTCTTTATACCGAACTTGGTCTTTCCCCCTTACAGGATCGTGTCCAGGAGTTTTACCTAAAAACTACCGTTTTCATTCTACTGGATCCTCGGGGCAACTATGTCCAAGCCAACTTGACTCTTGCTGTCCGAGGCCGACCTCCATTTAGAAGACAGTGGCGAGGGTCACTCATCCGAGCTCTTCAGGAACACGACCTCCTTTCTGATATTGTTGTCACCCCTGCTGTTGGTTCGTCTCCTTCTCCCTGGCTGGATTGTCAACCTGAAGTGATTGCCCTCGGTAGACTGCTCCCGAAATCCCAGTGAACCCTGTTATTCTCTGCAAATACCACCTCTCCAGGATCGCTCACTGGTCCCCAGGTAGGGTCGTCCTCTACACGGATGGCTCTGTTGACCCCGCTACAGGTAGGGCCGGGGCTGGTGTCTAAATCTCCCGTCCTGATGACCCTGGGCCCACCAAACTTTCTCTCAGAGTTTCTGACGGGGCATCCTCCACTCAGGCAGAACTGATAGCCCTCCTTGCTGCCCTTCTCGCTGAGGAAG